CACTGCACGGCCGGGCTCGGAGCCCTGCGCGCGGGCCAGGCCGCGGCGACCTGGTGGAAGCCGAGGGTCGCTGCTGGGGAGCCGGTTGCTTTTGGGGGTTAGCGTATCGCTCCCCTCTGCTCCCGGTAAATCCGGAGCAGCTTCTGCCCTTTGTCTGCTAAAAGCTCTGGCGTGCACGCGTGGGGCGCGCAGCGGCCTCGGCCAAGACATGCATTTATTAACAAAGTCCTAAGGAGGAAAGTCTAAAGCCGAGCGGCTTCCGCTGAGCCTTCTCGCTTCTGTTGCAGGTCCGTGCCCACGGCTTGTCCAAGGGAACCCGAAGATCCTACACACACAGTTAAGGTCAAAATTCAAGAAAAAACACAAGTGTGGTGAGTTTTCTGCAATTTTTTCCCTCCATCTCTCACTCCGCCTGGCCTGGCAGTCCCTTCGTAGGGAAGGAAGATGCTGGAGTGGATGGCGGGCAGGGAGCGGCGCTCCCGGGGCAGGAGCATCGATTCGCGGTCTGAGGCCAGGCTCCAAACATGCAGCGCAGGTTGGGACTCCGGCCACCAAATAAAGCGTGGCCCGCAGAAAGCCCCTCTCGAAGTGGTTTCTTGTTTGACGGTGCCGACCCCGGTGGGGGAGAAGATTGACCCTGAACCCAGCCGGGGGGAGCCGGTCGCTCCCCTGGGAAGGGGATCGTAGCTGCCTTAAGAAAGAGCCTGGGATCCCTCAAGGCCGTTGAACGGCTCCGTGTGGACCCCGGCCCGGGTCGGAGCCAGCCCCGCCGAACCTCTTCTTTGTTCGCGAGGGTGGTCCACCGGCACCGGGCCCTGTCCTCAGTCCCCCAAACCCAGCCCTAACCCGGCTCCAGCCGCCGCTGCCGCCCGCTTGGACCCAAGGTTCCGTCCGGCCCGGTCTGGAGCGGCCCGAGAGCGGCGGGGGCCGGCGGCGGCCTCGGGCGATGCTTATATAGGGACTCCCTCCGGGTTGCGGGCCGGGAAAGTGCCGAGTGCGGAATTCTTTCGCTGGTCAACCTCCTACGCTCGGGCTGCTTTGCACTTCAGAAAGTGCCAGGGCTTGGGAAGTGTTTTCCTTTTCATTCCTTACTGAAGCGTTTACTGCCACAGCACAGGCAGTCATAAATTTTGCTACAAACCGCAGTGACAGGTGCATTGATATGCACCCTGAGAGAGCCGACTGCTTTAATAACCGCTCCGCCGGCCGCTCTCGCCGCCTTTTATTTATTCGGTATCATATTAGGTATCGATCTCGAGCAGAATTAAGTGCAGTGGAAGTGTGAGGAGAGAACTGCTTAGTACGAGTGCGCCCAGTGCCGCGCGCAGGGCTACGCGGGTTCCCTCCGGCCGCGCCTGAAGGATCCGGGAACCGCCAGTAACTTCCAGAAGTCCCGAAACCGGACAAAGAACCCCATTATCACAGGAGATGCCAAACAGTTCAGATGAGGTTAACCTTTCTAGGGAGCAGGGAGGGAAATCTGAAACGCAGACATGGCTACTTAGCGGTTTCCTACCCTCAGTACGTCTAAGCCCACCTCCCACCGCTCGGCCTCACCATTTGGATGTCATTTTTTTTTCTTCCCCCACAGCCTCTCCCCCCCGCCCCCCCTTTTTTTTCCCCTCCCGGAGACTTGTTTCTGGCCAAACCACCAGGTGACGAGCCCCTGCTTTGGTGTTACCTACAAAAACATCACCCGGCGCCTTGCACTCGTGGAAAATCAAAACCTGGAAAGGTCTCCCTCTCCCTCTTTTTCTCCCGCTCTCGCTTTTTAAGATCTAAAGATGAGCCACCAAACAGTTGAGCATTGTCCATGTGATTTATGGCCCATAGCCTCCTTTTTAGGTTCAAGCAGAGTTCACAAGCAGTTGGTATTTCAGAAAAGAAATAAGGCTTTTAACAGCTTAACAGAAATATTCTTTCCTAAGATTCTGTGTATTCTTTTGGGAACTATATTTTACAAGGCACATAAAAGCATACGCTTTAGGCACTGTTTTGCTAACAAAAGTCCTCCAGATTACTCCCGAAAATGTAAATGATAGAAGTGGAAAATCAGCGACATTTTTTTTGTTCTTTTCACAAAATACTTTGACTCCTCAAGATTATCACAATTCATTAAAATTCGTCTAAATCACTACTGTTCAGTTCCTTAGGCGACCCTTTGCTTTTCCAGGAGAAGAAAAGAGCTAATTTTTTTTCTGTTTTTATCAACTTCCCATAAAATTCCACACGTTGTTCACGGACTGTAGGTTGTGAAAGGGGATAAAATCGGAGGGTGAGTGCGGGTTGCAGTCCTCTGAGTTTAGCTCTATGTCGTCGGGAATTTTAGAGGTCAGACCAGTAGTACCAAGGCATTACCAATTGATGTGGGGAAAGAGCATCAGACAAATGTATTTAGTGGGAGCACTGCTTAGTTATAGTCTGGAGAATGATAGTTATCAGGCATGGTTCAAAAATTTCAAAGCTACTTTTCTCTAGCATAATAATAATAATAAGGTCTAAAGAAACACAATTAACTCGTAAAACACGCGGAGATACAAACTGATATAGTCAGATGAAGTATGCGATCATTTATACCTAAGAAACGTCAGAAGCCCCTACAAGACAGGAAAAATACCACATAAAAATCACGTGAAGTGAGAAAAATCCATAACGAAACCGCAGACGAGTTTCTATCTTGCAACAAGAGAAACAGGGTTTGAGTAGAGCATCCTGCCTCCCCCCCAAACCCGACCTAACGCGTTTTTGTTTTCCATGCATTTTGGGGGAGGTGGAGAGGGGCGCAATAAGTTTTCGCGGTGGTAAAAGAGACCAAGGTTTATAATGAAAACCATCCACTAAAAATGATCCCCAGTGTCTCTGAGTCTTTCTACTTGGGATAAATGAGAGGGACGAAAAATGTCGGGCGAAGGATTTTAATTCACCATGGAATTAAAAAGGGGGAGCTGACCTGCTACTTTCTTTATAGTGCAAAGCGGAGCGGGTGAATGGCGTGGGTTATACTTTAACTCCTCAGGAATCCAGGGGAAGAGGGAGGCCGCGTTTTACAAAGGGGACGGGATTTTTCAGCTCCTCGGCGGCCGCAGCCCGGCCGCCATCCATCATGTCAGCCGTGCGCGGCCCTGCGC